CCCACGCCCCGGCTGCCGGCCTCTGCACACACAGGGCTGGCGATGCTCCGAGCTGGCAGCTGCAGTTTGCCTCACGTGGATCATCCCACCCACCTCTCTGCATGATGCCTGGGTGACCGAAACAGCCACGGCCATGCCAAGAAGGAGCAGTAAGCAAAGGCAGCCACGCAGTGGTCACACACGCGCTGCTGCCGCGGAGAGAAGGACCCAGAAAAAGCGTGCGGCAGCAAAGCCACGAGCACCACCCGCTCCTCCTCCTGCTGGAGTGGCAGAGCTTCAAAGGAGAAGAAAAGGAAGAAAAGCTGAAGGACCAGACACCATTAATCCCCTGTCAGCAGCAGAGGGGTGCTCTCTGCCCACACCCTGCTGCGGCTGATGAGAGCACAAGCAGCGGGGCCGGCAGCACGAGGTCAGCACGCCGCTGCCGATCCCAGGGCAGTGCTCTGACAGAACCCCTTTAATGGCTGTCAGCCTCTTCTGCAGCTCCAGCTGGGGACTTGGAAGCTGACAAAACCCTTCCTGGGAAGCATCTGGTTCGTCTCACTGTAAATATTTAACAGCAAAGAGACGGGGATCGAGAGCCAAGCGCCTGCTGCGAGCCCCTCCAGCACAGGGCGTTCATGCCGTCTGGGAGGGGACCACACGGCTCCCACCGCCCGGGAGGGGGCAAGGGGTGGTACAAGGCCAGCTCTGCCCAAAACGTGCCTCTGGGAAACCTGTCATCTCAAAGAACAGAGCCAGAGACAGGATTTCTTGAATGGAGACTGATAAAATTTGAGTAACATCACTCTTAGTTCCTCCCTGCTGCGATTCCTGCGGCTGACTTCAGCTGCTTCTGCAGGGCCAGCGTGTCCCCTGTGAAGTGGACACTTGCAAAGTCACCAGTAGACCTCCCCCTCGAAGCCTGCAGCAGGCCAGCTGCAAACCTGCCTCCCCAAGAGCATACAACAAACAGAGCCCAAGCACCAGCTCAGCTTGCAAGGCCCAGGGAGACACCTGGCACCACCAGGCAGAAGTCCAGTCCCATTCTTGGGGCAGGCTGCAGGATCAGGTCCAGCAAACATTCCCAGGAATTTAAGGAGTCCAGACTTAGGTCACCTACTAAGCAGGACATCTCCAGAAATGAGGCAAAGAAATCCTACAGTCCTGTTAACTACCTGGATTAAACTAAGCACAGGTATGAGGGCTTCCTCCTGCTAGTGAATCCAGAGCATTAAAACCATGACAACAAGGCAGCCAAATATCCTTGAAACCTTTGAGAGCAGGCAGAAGAGTTACTTAGGGATTACTGTAACTCAGCTGAACTGACTTCAGGGCATGCTCTCCAGACACAAGATACAACATCCTCACTTACACCACCAACTTTACGCCAGACAAAGTGAAATTCAAGATTTTTCTAAATAACTTTTATGTAACAAATGCTGTCAACTTCCTTCCTGGCTGCACAATCCCATGGAGCCTGTTGCATAAACCACTCTCTCCAATCCAGGTAATTCCAGTGCTACAGGTGGCTGCCTCCTCATCTCAATACACAGCTTAAGAATAAAAATATCCTAATCAAAGATAGCCTTCCCAAAGGAGTCAGGAACACCCAGCTACAAAAGAGCACAACAGCATTTTCTCTCCTAATTTAAAGATCCACTTCCCCTCCTTTTCTTTATGAAGGATTAAAAACCACTTCCTTGCAGTGGGAGCATCACATCACCCACATCTCTTTATGGAAAAGGCGACAGCATTTTATTCAAAGCAGCATTTATAACTCAAGAAAGGCATCTCAGCCACTGCTGACCACTCTCCAAAATGATCAGCTTCGGATGCAGCCTGCCAAAGATGGAACAGAAGGGCATCCACAACTGTGCCCTGCAGTCAGCTCTGCTCTCTGCATTTCAGCAAGGGCACAGCAGTGTTACAGATGCACAGCCAAAAGCCATTAAATCTCCAGACACAGCCCTGTGAGAGATGAGACTGAAGAGCCTGGGACCCTCCACCACTGAGAGGAGGGCACAGGAAGAGCACACGAAGCTACCAGGAGATCCACTTAAAGCAAGCAGAAATATTTCCTCAAATAGCAGGCAGCAAACTTCACCCCACCATGCAGCAGTAAGCCCTGGGAGGTGGAGAGCATCAGCAGCCTCACAGAGGGGTCAGATGTTCATGGCCAGCATGCCCACAGAGGTCTGGGTGGGGATGTGTCCTCACAGTGCTCCTCTAACAGCAGCAGTGGTGAATATGACAGTCTGTTCCTCTGCTCTTTGGGGCATGCTACAGCTTCTGTGACTAGCAAGTGGCCAATTTTTGGCTCAGGCTCCCCACCTCCAGGGAGGTGGGCACCTAGCCCGGTGCTAGGTCCCAACTCTGTTACTGCAACCCAGCATCCTCCATCCCTGTGCCATCCGCTGCTTTGGGCAGAACAAGGGACTTCTCACCAAGAAGGGAAACCAGCCATACAGATCCACGAGGCCTTAGAAGATTAACCTTACAAAACAGGCACTGACACAGATACAGGAGTCCTGGTGATCTGCAGTAACAGACTTGAGCAAGTAACTTGTTAAACCACCTCAGCAATGAGGAGGTGGTGAGGGAGTCAAACCCAACAGCTTCAGGAGCACACAGAGGGTCTGATGCTAGGAGCAAGCATGCTCCAGGGGAGGCTGCTGCCCCTCATCAGTGGTACTACCCTGCCTTCATCTCCAGCACTCACACCTCCCTGTCTTCTGAGGGAGCAGGGCTTCCAGATAAGTTTTGTGCACAGAAAGAAAAAGCCTGGCACCAGCCTTAAGGCTCTTCTGGAGAAGGCATGAGAAAGGACTGTGCAGCTACCATTAAGAGGAATCCCCTTTAAGTTTTTACTTATCTCTTTTAAAAACACAGAATTGTAAAGAACGCCCAAGAAGTTCTGTGGGTAGTTTTCTGCAACACATGTAACAAGCACTTACAGAAACACTATCATCTGCTGCAGATACACAGTCATGCCCCACCCTGGAAGCAGCTGTGAAGGTCCCAGACCCTGGAGAGCACAGGATGGAGCTGTGCCAGCCAGAAGACATCTCTAGGTCTGTGGCACAGGCAGACAAAAACAAATATCCAGTGAAGGCAGATCTTCAGCAGGGTGGAGAAAAGTCTCTTATGAACTCAAGACATGGGAATACACCTTTGCTCCTTCAAAACCAGTCTTGATATTTCACTCTCACACATGTTCTTAAAGCACAAAAATCATGGAAGACTTATAAATGGGTTAAGTTACTACTTGGGTTACTTCTTCAACACTTATAGAGGTATCTTCTGCAAAATTCCAGTGGACCTAGTTATATACCATAGCCTTGTTAAGTGGCTAGAGCTCTGGAAACATTCATCCATGACTTCCACCTCTGTTCAGTTCATGAAGTAAAAATTAAAAATGCCTCCACCACTACATTGGACCACTCAAAAACAGTTATTTTTACTGAAATCAGCTTTAAGACAATGGAGCCATTTTCCATACTCTCAAACCCTGACCACACAATGCCACCACAACCAGCAACGATTTATCCTGACACCATCACATGGACTGGGGGAATGGGATTCTGTGCAAAGCCAGAGATGCAGGCAGGAGGTGGACACAGTGACACGTCTGAGGTAGCACAAGGACACCAACTCCCATTCCCAGTGCCTTTGCTGTGGGATGTCTCCACAAGGCACTGCAGCTCTGAGACAACTTACTGTCTGGTCTTTTTATCACCCAGTAAAACAAACTTTTCCTTTAGTCTGCACACTTCAGCAACCCAGATGAAAAGCTCCTGGCAGTTTAGGAAAGGTAAGAACTGAGATGATCAATGCCTGCTTTTAAAAACTGTATCCCCTTCCTGATGTGGGACCTCCCCTCCCTCCCTAGGACCCAAATCCTTTCCTGCAGGGTCCCTCCTAGTGAGGCTTCACAGAATGCTGGGGCCAGGAAGTTTTCATTGGTCTTGCACTGATGGCAACATAGTGTGCATCTTGGTGGTTCACAGCAACAGTCAGCAGCAACACAGGGGCTGAACAAGCCAAGGGGGATGTCTGCATTGTTTCCAAGTACTGCAAATCCAAATGCACATCTTCAGATTCATGGACACACCAAGCTGTGTACAACTAACACAGACTAACAGCAGCAACTGAGTCACATTTGCCTCCTGACACAATGTTTTCAGTCACATGCAATGAGTAAGACCTACAAGTTCCCAAATTCTTTCACACTGGACACCCAAACTTCCCACGATACAATGTATGGGAGCAAAGAAACTTCCCAGCAGGTGTAATCATCACTGCATGAAAGCATAAAACATGTCAGAGCTATGCAGGAATGGCCAAGTAGTAAAGAGACTCCGTTTTTGAGGGATTTTGTTTGGTTTGTTGTTTGGGATTTTTTTTCAAATTAATGTCCGTTGCATATTCGTGCACCAGTCTTCTAAATCTGCTTAGAGCTGTTCCTGCAGACAGAGAAGTGCAGGGAAGCCATGGGAGAGGGAGGGATGAGGAACTCCATTTTTAATTAATACATACCAGACTGGCCGTCAGTTGGAAATATATCTGTAAAAGAGAAAAAGAAAAAAAATCAGTACTGGTTGCAGCTGGAGTGCGAATCATATTTAAAAGGTGCCTCCTCTCTTGACTTGTTTGCTTTAGCTAAACAGAGGAAGTATTTTCTTAGTATCCCAAGTTAAACATCAATCCAGTCTGGAACCTACCTCAACAGAACCACTTGCTATAAGAAAGATTTGAAAGATGTCAGTGTTTACCTGAATGTATTGCTCTCATAAATATCTTTCTTCATTGGCTTCTAACAGAGAGCAGTGAAGGGCAAAAAGCTCATGAGATGCGGAGAGCTCCACACAGTGAGCTCGCTGGTGGCACCTCCATGCTGCCCATGCCCAGCACTGTCAAATGCACAGAGAACCCCTAACGCAGTGACCAGCTGGGCAACGCAGGTGGCAGCCAAAGCAAAAGCCAACCAAGCATCTTCCTGATGGTTCTTGGCTTTCACAGCCACACGGGACATCAGCAGCACCTACACCAGGGAATGGGGAGCCAGAAGCACACACCCATCGCCCAGGCAGACATTGAGTGCCTTGGCACATCACCCGTGACCCCAGGGGAAAGCCTTTGCCTTCCCCTTCCCATCACAAGTGGCTCTGCCAGCGAGCACAGCCTGCTGCACAGAGCTGCTGGAGACTGGAGGGTTTCAGATGCTAAAACAGCCTGTTCAACCTTCTCACTCCCCAAGCTCCTTCCATTAGAGGTACAGGTCCTTCTCCTGATGGACCCTATTTATCACTGTTAGGAAGACATTCGCTGAAGTAGCTGGGAAAGATCAGATGAAAGACTTGGTCTTTTGTGGAACACGCAGGATAGCCTCTGTGGCAAAGCCCTGCTGATAAAGGCTCTCCAAGAAGCTATGAAAACAACAATTTCGAACGCAAAATGTTTTCTTCAAGGAACTTGGAAGAGAGGGGAAGAGAAGCTTGCAGCAAGCCAAGGTCCTCCTAGAACAGAGGCAAGCCCCTGGCTCCTGCTAATCAGCTGCTCAAAACACACATTCAGCTGTAAAGTCACAGCAGTTGCAACAACGCCTACCCCTTGGACAGGGCAATGCTCTCTGGCTCAACCACTGCTGGAAAAGCAAAACCATGTCCCTCCCAAGGAGCTCCTATTTATCCACCTTTACCAGCCTCCTGCCTCCAAGGCGTCCTCAGCCAGCGACACTTTCACCGCCCCAGGAGCCCCAGAAGCAAGCAGAGGTGGGAAGAATAAACCACCAAAACCCCCTCTGCTGTTACACAGGGTTATGGTGCGTGGCCCTGTTTAAGACAGGATCTCAGGGAGAAGACAACACATCCAGAAAAGCCTCTGAACAACAGTCTGGAACCTTTGCAGACTGAATGTTCTGTTGCAACCCTCCACCAGGACATCATCCAGGCACATCAAAAATTTGTCTTTCTGATGGTTGCTGCTGAGGTCAGGCTCCCACAACAGTGAGTAGAAACATCTGTTACTTGATCTAACGGGTCCCAAACAAGAGCCAGTTTCTGCATTTTCCTACTTGGACAATTCCCAGACAGCTTCTCTGCAGAAGAACACGGTAGAAGCAATGGTTAACTTGTATCCCACACATCTGGATCAGCCAACTGTACGTGCTACCACCAAAAAATAAAATTAACAAATACTACTACTACAATGGCTGAGAACAGGAATTCCTCTGTGCCAGCCAATAGCTACAGGCCTCGGCAGCCACTCCCCTTGTTATACCCCTGCCAGGTGCAGCT